CCTCACATCTGCAGCTAACAGCTTTGAGCAAATGATTTCTGTGTCTGTGTTTTGAGCCCCACCTGCCTTATTTCCCAAGCTGACGCTCTTACCCTCACCGCACTCTGTGTTAACATTGCTCCCTGGGTGCTGGCCGGGCTCCCACAGCCAATCACTCTGCCTTCAAGGATCTTTCCCTCTAACCCGGACCCTCCAACTGACTCGCCTTTATCTATCCTAACATATACGGCCTCAGACTCTCTGCACTTGATCTTTGCCAAAAGGCCGAGAAGCAATGACCTCAGAGCCTCTGAGTAGTCAACCCTTTATTTTTTTCTCCCCTTGTATTTATCAGTTGATTTAAGATCCAGAATATGTCTCATCTATTTTCTAATATCCATTCCAACCCACAAAGTTTTTATTAAAAAAAATTTAAATACATGTGGCGCCTGGGTGGCACAGTCAGTTACGCATCTGACTCTTGGTTTCCACTCAGGTCGTGACCTCAGGGTCATGAGATCAAGCCCACTGTGGGGCTCTGTGCTGAGTGTGGAGCCTGCTTAAGATTCTCTCCCTCCCTCTCCCTCTGTCCCTGCACTGCTCCATGCTTGCTTGTGCTATTTCTCTCTCTCTCAAAAAATTTTAAATACAAAAGTAGTACATGCTTGTGTTAAAAATGCAAATGATATAATATTACTATAATCAGATGGATTAATATAGAGAGTAAAGAGCAAGTGATTCTCTTCATAAAAGTGAACATTCCCTTTCATGTATTTGCTCCCCAACTCCTCTCCAAATTCTGTTTCTTCACCCAGTGATACACTTGTACTTTTTTAAAGCAGTGGATTTATAATCACATTTTTTTTCTCATTAATGGGATTACACAGTACAATGTCTTGCTTTCTCTCACATATAATACATAGATCTTCCATGGAACAGAGTAGGAAGTCCAGAAATAGACCCACACAAACATAGCAATTAATTTTGAGACAGTATAAAGTCAGTTCAGTGGAGAAAGGAGTCTTTTCAACCAGTGGTGTTGTAACAACTGACATATAAAAAAAAATTAACTGCAACCCTTAACTCACAAAAATATAAAAGTTGACTCAGATGGACCATAGAGCTAAACATAAGAACTAAAAATTACATTTCTAGAGGGAAACATAGAAGAAAATATCTGTGACCTTGGGTTAGGTAAAAATTTCTTATGTAGGACTCAAAAAAGCATGAGTCAAAAAAATAAAGAAGGAAAAAATAAAAATTGGGTTTCATCAAATTTAAAAACTTCTGTTTTTTTTAGGATACCATCAAGAGAATGAAAAGACAAATTACAGAATACGAGAAATTATTTTCAAAATACTTATCTGCAAAAGGATTTGGTATGCAGGATTTTTAATGATGCTTACAACTTCATACTAAGGAGACAAACAATCCAATTATAAAATGAGTAAAAGATTTGAAGAGACACTTCACCAAAAAAGAAATATCAATGGTGAATAAGTACATGAAAAGATGCTCAATGTTATTAGTCATTAGGAAAATGCAAAATAAGACCACAAGAAGATAGCACTGCACACCTACTAGAACTGTTCAAATTAAACTGACAAAAGCAAGTGCTGACAATTACGTGGAGCAACTGGAACTCTTATACATTGCTGGTGAGAATGTGAAGTATTACATTCACTTTGGAAGACAATTGGGCAGTGTCTTATAAAGTCAAATATACAACTGTTACATAATTTTGGAGTTTAATTCCTAGATATTTACCCAAGAAAAGTGAAAACATATATTCACACGGAAGCAAACATTTATAGAAGCTGAATTCATGATAGCCCCCAAACAAGCAAAACAACCCCCCAAAACAATAAACTGAAATCAGCCAACATGTCCATCAGCTGGCGAATGGATAAACAAATTGTGGTACATCCATTAAATGGAATGCTAGTTAGCAGTAGAAAGGAACAAATTATGGATACATGTAACAAGGTGGATGAATCTTAGAGACACAATAGGTAAAAGAAAGTGGACACAAAAGGCTACATACTGTATCATTCCATTTATGGGAGATTCTGGGAAAGGCAAAGCTATAGAGACAGAAATTAGATCAGTGGTTATCAGGGACTGGGGTTGAGGCAGGGGGTAAACTGCCAGCTGGCACAAAGGAACTTTTGAAGGTGATGGAAACATTCTATATCTTGAACATGGTGGGGGCTATAGGATTTTTCATACATTTTCCAAAACCCATTAAAGTGTAAATTTTAAAAACAGTGAATTTTATCTGATGGAATTACTGGACTGAATTTACCTGTCTGAAGTAAGCCTAACTAAAGAACAACAACAATAAAAAAAGAAACACCAAGGAAGAAAGAAAGAAAGACAAACAGAGAGACACGCAAAAGCATATCTACATATAGGATTTTCTATACCAGATGGTGAGCTGATTTTAAATTTGGATAGATAAGGCCAAATTGTCCTCCAAAATGGCTATACCAATTTATACCTCCATGAGTAGAATCCAAGAGCGCCTATTTCCCCACGCTATGGCACAAATGGATATAATCAATTTTTAAAAAGTTCTGTCTATTTGATGGTGAAAAATGTTATGATCCTGATACATCAGGCACGCACAGTTAAGATCTTGTCCTAATTGGTCTCTCCACTCGCAGTCCTTTCTCTCTCCAAATCATCTTATATAATGTTAATAGAGTAATCCTTCTTGTGCCTGGTTCTAATAATATCTCACAAAAATTATTAACGAGACCCCACTGCCTAGAAAATTCTGTCCAGACCCTTTATCCAGATATTTGAGTCCTTGTTCTACCCCAGCTCCTACTTTCTCTCTTCTCTATGACTGTCTTCTTATTTTTAGCAGAAAATGTTGACTTAAACCTCTAGTTCAATGGTTCTTACTCCCTTTTCTTTCCAGCCTTTTTGGAGGTAGAGTTGACACATAACATTGTACAAGTTCAGGGTATACAATGTGATGATTTGCTACGTATATTTTAGGCAAGGTGGGCATAATCAGGCCTATCATCAGAAAAGAAAAGACTGAGATTTGAGAGTAAGTTTTCCCCAAGAAGACAAGGTTTTATGTGAGAGGGCAGAGCTCAGAACTCAGCTATTCCCATTCCTAGTCCAGGGCTCTCCGTTCCATTCCCTCCTGCCTTCTGGCCATCTCCAACTTTCAGGCTGTCAGTCTGTCCTTCCTGTTTCTATTCTACTCCTCAGCATGAAGGGGCCTAGGTCAAAAATACAGCTGGAGGCGTACACCTATTTCGTTGAAATATCAGAAACTTGTATGCCACGCAAGCAACCTATTAAATATTACTCTCCTCCTTCCTTGACGAACACACCTTCAAAATGACCTGGTAGGCGAGGTTCCCAAAAGCAGAGGGGCTCCTGGGTGGCTCAGTTGGTTAAGCGGCTGCCTTTGGCTCAGGTGGTGATCTCAGGGTCCTGGGATCGAGCCCCGTGTCGGGCTCCCTGCTCAGTGGGAACTCCGCTTCTCCCTCTGCCTCTGTGCTCTCTCTCAAGTAAACAGATAAAATCTTTAGAAAGAAAAACAACAAACCAAAAGCAGAATTCCCAGACTCCTTGGAATTCTGAGTAGTACGGCAGCCAAGCCATATGAGTATGAATATGAAGCTTGTTCCGCCCTCTCTGCCCACTCCTTGTTCTTGGCTTCATTCACTTGGGCTTTGTGGGCTCATCTCATCCTACCTGCATGGCTCAGTTCCCTCACTCCCCAGCAAACAACTACCCATGGCCGCCTTGGGACCAGACATACCTTGGCCCACTCACCCTTTGGGAAGAAGAGGCCACAGGGGCCCTGAAAGTGAGCGGGGGGCCGACTGGTGGGGCATTCTGGGTACCAGACCGTGGGGGAATGTGGGCTCCTGCTGGGGTGTTCCTTTGGCTTCTCGGGCTCCTTGTCCTGTGGGGAGAGGTACAGTTGGAGGAGGCCCACTCTGTGGCCCTCCCGTAAACTGGGGCCCATTGTGCTTAGGTCTAAGGGTGGCACTGATCCTATCTCCCTCCCCAAATCAGACAGCAGACCTTTTGAGGAGACAGGCTAATTCTCTCCTCACCCCACCCCAGAGACTGTATTTTACTGGAAAACGGGAGATGGGGATTCTACTTGAGGGTCAGCCCTAGGTAAATAAACTCACCTGCCTGGTTGGTTTCTTTCTCTATACAATGAAAATTGCATGAGATAATATCCCAAATCACTATTTTAATCTTCTTTTATATCTCCCCCCGCCCCCATCACTAACACCTTATAGTACCTGCTCAGAAGAGTTTGCTGGGTTTATTTTTTTGCCTCATTTGGTATGAATGCCCTGAGGCCTTGTCTTAATCTCTTCTCAGGCACAAGTGTGTATGGGAGTGTGTGTTTACACACATACGTGCCCCTACCTTGTACCAGCCGGTTGGCCTTGGACTTCCAAGTCACACAACCTGCTAGCTGGATGATTAGAGCCCCAGGAGACTTTTTCATAGACACTCAGGCAGAATGCATTAAATCCTAACAGAGGTAACATTCAGTTTTATGCCTTCAGAGCTTGGAAACTAGGAGACCCTAGGGGTCTTTCTATAGAGAGTTGGTGACCTTGAGTCATTTCTAATATCTAAGTTGCAATTTTTATATCCCACTGATGTCAACCCCTTCTTAATGGCTCGGCAACCATTTCATTTTCTTTAAACTGGCTGAGAACGGAGAGGGAGCCTTCTTTCTCTGATACCCCGGTACTAGTATAGGTGGGAGCTCTCTGGAGGCTGGGGCCAAATCTGAAAGGTTGACTCGCTTCCCTGGGTTCAAGACTACAAATGAATAATGGTTCAAGACTACAAATGAATAATGAGGGCTTACTGGTGCTATGGGGATCCCCAAGCTGGATAACATCATCTTGGAACTCCGTACTAATTTGATTGGAGAGCAAAGGATACATTTATAAAAGATAAACTAATACTCGAGGACAAGACAATTTAAGAACCACCCCAAGGCAGTGGTTTGTAGTCAAATGACGTCTTTACACAGAGTTCAGAGGGTGAAGAAGGGCATTGAACAAGAGGTTCTAGATCTCTGGCCAAGGTATCCGGGCCAGACATGCCTGAATAGGCAGTGTTTTCCCAGAGGAACTCGCCTGGAGATTGTGGGCTGAAGGCAAGGTATGCAGAACCCTCTGGAAGCTGGTGGGGAATCAGTTGTTACGAACACAGCACTGTTTATGATGGGAGGCATAATGAAGTACAAAACAAATTAGGAACATCAACAAAAGCTAACTTTCATCTTTATTCTCAGTTATCTTCCTCAAAAGTAACAGGTAGGTACTTCTAGGAGGGTGCCTCAGCCTTCTTCAGAGGAAGGACTACTACTGATTCTCCAGTCATCTCGCCAGGGGGCAAGGTGCCCGGGTGGGTTGGAGCCGCCAGGCTGGGTCTAGCAGGGGAGCCGGACTGGAGAGCAACCGGGATCCTTTTATCAATGGAGATGAGTCACATTTTCCACTAACCACTACAGTTTCCCAGGCAATGAGATAGTGTCTCCAACTCACACCTTTAGTCCCCTGCCTGGTGCAAGCCTTCTAAAAGTATGCAAACATCCAAAATTGCCAAGTTCACATTCCAAGACCTTTACACCAAGTGTGTTCGGAGTTAGACGTATTTGACCAATGTTAACTCCCCTCTTGGCTTTCCACGTTTCCCCTCGTCCCCAAACTCTGACTCCCCAAACTCTGACTCTTCCGACCTCTTCCCTGCCCAAGATAGCTGCTTTCCCTAACAGGGCCTGGACGGGCGCGCTTCTCTCCAGCTCTGCGGCGATTCGGTTCAGCAGGCGCCTTCTGAAGGCCTACTACGTGCGGGGTTTGCGGGCCTCCCAGGCCCAGAGCGTCCTGTCGTTCCGTAAGGACCCACACAGGAGGCAGAACCTCTGGAGGGAGAAAGGATGCGTGGAGCTGTGTGCGCGCTTTTCCCACCTCCTCGACTGCACGTCGGGCTCTCGGGAAGGGAGCCCGACCTTTGCTTCGCTTTGTCCCCTCCGCAGCCCCGAAGGCTGTCCTCCGAGCGCAGGCGCCCCGCTCACACCTGCTGCCCCGCACGGAACGGAGCAGAGCGAAGCCAGGCGCCGGAGGAGGAGCGTGAGGCCCGCCGCTCTCGGGGCCGGCCAGGTTTTCCCGCTCTCACCCCTCCTCGCGGGCCTCCCTCCCTCCCGGCGCCCCCGGGAGCGGAACGCGCGGGGAGACCCGGGCGGCGGGCCCCGAGGTTCCGTGCGAGGCGGGGCGGCACTGGCCGCCGACCCGGCCCAGGCCTCCCGCGCCTCCCCCGCGCCCCCCGAAGCCCCCCTCCAGGGAGGCGGGTCCTGGGGGAGACCCGGCACCGGCCCCGCGCGGCGCAGCCCCCGCGCGCCCCGAGCCCCGCGCTCGCCGCCTGGCAGCCCCGCAGGCAGGCGCCGGCCCGGCCGGGAGGTGGTGCTAGCCTCCCCGCGCCCGGGCCCGCGCGTTGCCGAGCAGCCGCTCCGAGGCTCCGAAGGGGGCGGAGCGGCGAGGCCGGCGTGCGGCTGGCGGCCCCTGTCCGCGGTTCCGGCCCCCGGCCCGCCCCCGCCTCGCCGGCCTCCCTCCGCGCCGGTGCGCGGCGCCCGGTCCCAGCCGCAGCCGCAGCGGCCGCCCCTCCCGGGCCCGACAGCGCCGAGCCCCGAGGCCGGGCCGGGGCGCCGGTCGGGACTGCCGGGGGCGCGGCGCCGACGCCGAGGCGCGGCCATGGAGGGGAAGACCCGCGCCGGGGTCGCGCTGGTCCCGGGGCCGAGCGGCCGCGGGCCTTCCGCCCGCCGCGCCCGCCGCCTCCGCCGCCGCCCGGGGCTGCTGCTCCCCGGCCTCTGGCTGCTGCTGCTGGCCCGGCCGGCCTCGTGCGCCCCAGGTAAGCACCGCCGAGACCCTCGGGCCGCGACCCTGCCTTTTTTTATTGCTGTTATTTTCAAAAAAAATCCTGCTTTCCCCGCCCACCCTCTTTTATTCTCCACGGCTCCCTAGCCCTCCTTTCTTGAGATGCTTTTCCGTTCTTCTCGGGCCCAGCCAATAAAAGGCACGGCGAAAATACAACGAGAGAGCGAATGGATTCTGGCCAGTCTTGCTAAAGGTCTGCAAAGCCCTCCTGTTATCCACGGAGCCCGAGGCGGGTCTTTGGCTGCTCCAAATGTGCCTTTATTTTCTCTGCAAAACGCAGGCACTGGAATTGTATTTGTTCATGGCTGTGCCAGTGTGGCGTGTCAGATGTTCGGGAATACTTCGTTGTAGGGGCGAAGGCGTAGCCTGGGTGTGTGGGCTTTAAAGCAGTGTTGCGTTACTCCGAGCGGCCCGGCGTCCCCCAGATGCAGGCAGGCTGGCGGTGTCCCCCAGTGCACCAGGACACAAAGAACATTCAAAGAAAATCTCTTGGAAAGCGCCCTGGCCATGGATCTTTCCAGGGAAATAGCTAGTGCTATTACTTCTGCAAAGGCATCAGTACAATAGAGTGGGAAAATATTGTGATTCTTCAGTGTCGGGGCATGAAAGGAGGAAGGGTTGTTTTATAATAGATGCAGTTTACTGACTGTTCGTCACCCTGGAATTAAGAGGCATCATTTATGAAGGAGCATGTGGGCGGGTTTTGTTGCTGAAATGATTTAATTCATACTGCTTCTCCGAAATGTTTTCTTGTCCACACGGAGCACACACACAGGATGCTCTGGAAAGCTTCTCTGAGCTGACACCCGGTAAACCAGTGGTTGCCCCAGCACACACCCTCCACCACTTTGGGGCAGAGAAGGAGAGGTGGAATGAGCGGCTCTGGGTGGAGAGCGGCTGCCCAGTGAACACAAACGGAGCCATGGAAGCTCCGGCAAACGCTCCCTTCTCGGGGGCAGCGCGGAAGGACTGCCAAGTGGCTTTGGAAGGAACTGGAACACATTTGAAGGTGTCCCTGGGACATCACTGTCAGAATTATAACCAGTGTCCCCCAGGGGATGGTACAATAGAAACACAAGAAGGGACTTTGGGGATCACAGAGTGAAACCTCTCCTCTTACTACAGAGGAGAGTGATAGAAAATTGGCTTGGTCAAGATCACTGGCTAGTTGGTGCAGACTCATTGCTTTTCCATTACCCCCTGCTGCCCTGTGACCTGTAGGCTTATAGGCACCCGAGGCTACCGCAAAGATTTCCCGTGGCTGGGTGGAACCCTGGCTCAGGGAGCCCTGCCAGAGCTGGGGCGACAAAACAGGTCTCTCGCAGAGTGCAAACAACTTTCCTAACCTAGCGGCTCAGGACTCAGTCCTGCCCTCTGTGTGTTCCAGCCCTGCGTGTCCAGAGGAGAGGAGAATCAGGGCTTTCTGTGAGAAGAGATAATCATGAAGAGTGCCCTTGGCTTTCATCTGCAAAGAAAGCCCATCTGATACTAATGGACTCATCTGTGAAGGGACCCGACATTAATCATTTCCATTTACTGAGTGCTTCCTCGGTGCCAGATGCTGCGTTTTATAGACACAATCCAGTCCCATTGTGAGTTGGGCGGGACTAGCCCCATTTTACAGATGAGGAAACTAAGACTTCAGAAGTTTAGGTTAGTTTGATTCCAGACTCTATGCATTTAACTTCTGCGCAGCTTCCCCATGTGCATATACCACAGATGTTGTGCAGAGAATAAGTAATTCTTTTGATAAACTGAAAGTATATAGTGGAGATGTTTGCACTGTCCCTCTATAAGTTTCCTGTCTTAGTCGTCCCTGTTTCCCATCAACCCCCAATACAAATATTCACCCTGGACACGTGAAATTCAGTGTATTTCTGTGCTAGAGCTGACATCACAGAGGTGGAGACGTCTTCCTTTCAGTAATTTGTGTCTTGGGCTCCGCTGGTTTGTACAATCACTTCTAGACCAGGTGATAGAATAGCAGCTGAAGAAGTAGAGGACCCTGGGTCTGTCCCCAGAGATCCAGTTGGAAACTCAAAGCAGGTGCAGATCCGTGCATGGACTGTTCCTTCGAGAAAAAACATCTTAAAGGTAGCCCCTGACCCACTTCTTAAAGGCTGTGACAAGCCACAGTGGTGGAGGGTTGCTTCCTGATGGTGCGTGCTGGTTGGTCCTAGGAAGAGGTTGCATTTCAGTTGGCCCGTGTCTCCTCTCTGTGCCACTAGGACCCTCTGGTTCCCAGTCCTGAGTGTTTCCTTTTCACCATCGGAGTGGGGATGGGGGAGGCTTTGCCGAACCCTGCCGCAGTGGTTCTGTTTCTAAAGAGCCTGATTCAGAAAATGGCATGTCTTAATCCTGTGTGGGATTTCCTGGGTTAGGCAGCAGTCCCTTTCAAGGCTGACGGAAAATGATCTTCGGCAGGCTTCTCTTTCCTTGTTAACTTCTGTTAAATGGAGTCCACCTTTCAGTGGGTCCCCTTATTTCAGTCTTTATTTAAATTTCTGTGTTTTATTGATTTCTTGTCTCTTTCTGTCTCATTCAGAATCTTGAATGTGCCCTTTTTTGTTTGTTTAAACATTTATAAATTTGGTTTTGACTGTTCACTGTTGTGGAAACAACGTGAAGTACTTTGGACTTGCCTTTGATTGCATTTTTTAGGGGATCCTATATCCACAATATAAAAAGAAAGAATTGCACTCCATTAATTCATCTTATTCATGGATAAGTCCTTCTTAAAAATAATGGCTATTATGAAAGTGATAACTTTGCAGAGATTTTGGAAATTACTAGAAGATACAGAAAACAGGTACCCATAACCCTGCAACCCACAGATAGCACTGTAAATAGTTTTTTCTTTGTTAACATTCAAAAGGTGAAAACTGAATTATAGGCATAATTGCAATTATTACTTTTTTCACTCAATATTTAACTTAAGCATTTTCCTATTCATTAAATACTGTTTGGAAACTGTTTCATCCTAATAATTTCCTTAATTATTCTTTTATTATTTCCAGCTTTTTTGGCTGTTATAAATAATGCTATGATGAATAGCTATGTAGATAAGGTTTTGTATTTCTGTGTGTGTGTATGTTTAGCATATGTTTCTAAAAGGGGAATTAGAATGCAATTTAAATCTAAGACTCACCAGGCTGAATCTTGGCATGTTCAGTGTGTTAGGTGCCTACTAGGTGCTCTGTAAGTGGTTGTTGAATGAATTGACTTGTTCTGTATAGCCGTGATGCTGAAATAAACCTTAGTAACTTACACAGTGGCCTGTTTCACTTCATCATCATCAGCATTGGATATTATTTTTAAAATTCTGATAGAGGGGTGCCTGGGTGGCTCAGTGGGTTAAGCCTCTGCCTTTGGCTCAGGCCCTGATCTCAGGGTCCTGGAATCGAGCCCCACGTGGGGCTCTCTGCTCAGTGGGGAGCCTGCTTCCCCGCCTCCCCCTTTCTGCCTACCTCTCTGCCTACTTGTGATCTCTGTCAAATAAATAAATAAAATCTTAAAAAAAAAAAACTCTCATAGAATAAATTTGTCACCCACCGCTTAAGTTTTTTTTATTTTGGGTTGGCTATTTTTGGTATATTTTGTATTTGTATTCTGTGAATTCTCTCTGTGTTTTTGCTCACATGTATGTTGTTGGTATATATTTAAATCTTTTTATGTTAAGGATAGCAACCATTTCTCTCCTGCTGGTTGCCTTTTCCCCCTTCCAATGGATTTTCTTTTCAATTTGATACAATTTAGAAATTCAGAAGTTTTGATTATTTTGATTAGCAAAATCTGCTGTTCTGCTTTTCTTTTTGTAACTTTTTTTCATTGCATTTATTCTCAAGACATGTTAAATTTTTATCTTAATGTACTTATTATTAGCCATTTTAGGTGAATGTTTGTTGTACTTTTTGGTTTAGTACCTTATAAACAAAGACTTTAAATGTTTCAAAAGTGTGATTCCCCAGCCCCCTGCTTCAATATCACTACGGGATGTGGAGGTGCTTGTTAAGAAGTTAGATTTCTGGGGCTCACCCTTGACCTATATTAGAGTCTTCAGTGGTGGTGCCTGGGAATCTTCATTTTTAACAAGGTCATAGTTGATTGTTAGGTCCTTTAAACTTTGGAACCACTGATATAGAGACTGTACACCCAGTAATTGGAAGTTTTGGGGACCCACTGCTTAATATCTTGCAATTGTCTTTCCATGATTAGAACAATTGATTCAAAATTGTGACGTTGCAATTGTTTTTTTTGTTGTTGTTCTATCTTGTTGGCTTGGTTTTCTTTGGGTTGGGAGTCAAAGGGCGTAGAGGACTTCATTTTAAATTCTCAGTCCTAGCCACTGGGGAACAGTGGCTGCCCTCTTTGTCAGGAAATGCCTCCCTTAATCCTGAAAACAGAACCCAGCCAGGGAGTTGTTAAAACTCACCAGGGACCTAGGAGCCACAGGTTTTCTATCAGTGTGCCCTGGGTGCTAGAGGAAGCTAGTTACTGTAATTAAAATTACACTAGGTTGATTCAGTTGGGAAGATGCTGCTGTAACCGATCCAATTTGTTTCACGTTGCGTAGCTCACAGTGACGTGGTTGCTTTCTTGGGCTTAAGCAGCATGATGTGTTAGCGGGCTCACTGAACTGTGAGCTCGCAAACCCGAGTGAGCTCTTTTCTGCTGGTAACTTGCTTTGTGACTATGGACGAGTTACCTTGCTCTGGGTTTCTTTGTCCGTGTCAGAAGAGGTCGCTGAGATTATCTCTGAATTCCCTTTACCTCTTATATTTCAAGTCCACATGTTGGATACCTTGGATTGCACTTGTTACAGACAGCGACAGTCCTGTTTCTGTTTAATGTTTGTGTCAATGTCTGTCTGTCCTGTGACTTGCCGAAGGCAGTTCCTTCAATTCTTTTTTTTTTTTTTAATATTTTATTTATTTATTTCACAGAGATAGGCAGAGAGAGAGGGAAGCAGGCTCC